TAATTAAATGTAACAGTAACAGAGCATCCAATGATTGAATCTGGAATCATTATTACTGCATAAAACTGGTGATTTTGATTCAACTTGACCATGAAGGAAAAGAGAGAAGCAAGAGAGGAGGGAATACAAATAATAAAGTAAAAATACTCCTTTGGTCAAACACTGATTGCTTTTGTGTCATGCTCTCTTCTCGTATTCAGGCTGGTCACATTTGTGGTGAACTACTTTTTCAGCACAGGGTTATTTTAGGCTGTGAGTTTTAAGGCCAAGGCAGTCCACTGTATCTGGCAGGAAGACTGTGGTATGGATATAGAATACAGAGAGGGAAACCATCACCAATCCTTAAAATGTGGGGTAGCAAATTGGTCTTCTACATCGTTTATTCTTACTCACTTTCTGACCTTTGCTATAACTTTCTGAATTACACCAAAGAAGTCCAGATGTTAGGATGGTAGGAACAAAATAAAGTGCTGTTCATTTATGGCCATTCTGAGTGTGGGTCATGCTAACGCCGCTATAAAACACATGAGGGGTTTCTGGCGCGTACTTCCAGATATGCTTATTTTTTATATAGAGTCAAATGTGCCATTTTCAGATTTTTTTTCTTAAACTTTGTTAAACCTGACATGACCTATCCACAATTTAAAAACAGTTTCTTTGTCAAAATTATTATAATATTTTCATATTTTTTACCAGTGACATGAATTAAACTGTCGACACAGCTCATTAGCTTTGCCACAAATGTGAGCAATGCTAATGAGCTGCTTTCAACATATAATCAAAATCTCTTTTTTGATTTTGACCACCCTGTTGTAGACTGTCGAGGAACACAACCACATTTTTGTGTTCCCCCTAAAGGCCCTGACACACCTAGTCGACAGTTGTCAGTCAATCAGTGTCAGAACGTTGGAGAGCATCTGTTGCTTTAGTCTTTGCAATGTTTCCTGCTCTGTTGCTACTTGTCTGCGTTTTTTGGGTTGAGTGAGTGTGAATTTTTGGCTTTGGAAGTGGAGAAGAGGCGACATCAGTCAGCCTCTGTTGCTGCTAGTTCTTTTGATGTCAATTTGGTTTTTGACTGTGCTGTAAACATTCCAAATGAAACATTTATTTTATTTAGCTTTTTTTTTGACAGTGCAGATAAAAGAACAGGAAAGAGGGAGGGAGGCAACATCAGATTTGAACCTGGCCACTAGGCAGGCAGACGGACTAGAGCTACCATGGTGCTCATAAACCTACATTTATTAGAAATATTTCAGATGCTTTTCTCTAAATCCATCAGAGGTAACCAGTAAAACGAGTATCTACTTTTTGGTGAAAACAGGAATCATTTTTGTACTGTATCTATATATTCCTAAAGCAGATCACAAATGCATTTTAACGTTCACGATAGAAATTCAAGTCAGTCGTACTGAACCCAAGCATGCACTGACTTAAAAGAGAATATGCCCCATTTCTAGTAACCGTATGAGTGAAAGAAAGCGAAAGCTGGAAAATGTACACAAATTACAAACCAAACGGAGTCCTAAGGCAATGCCAATATAGTTTTCCTACGAGTCATATTTTATTTGGGTTGTAATACACTTCTTTCGTGATACCGTTGAAGCAACTATGACAAAGCTCACAGCCATGAGGTTTGACATTAAATAAAGTAGATTTCATAAATGGGGCTCCACCTACATGTATTATTAGCCCCAGTTCCACATGGATATATCTTGTGCCAAAGGCTTGAACTACATTCCCATCAGACAAGCACAACCCATTTGAAAACCCAGAGTGAACAAGGCTCATTAGACGAGGCTCATGTCAAAACAGAAGATTAAAATGTAGGGGTAAAAAATGAGATAAATTACTCTGGCAATGAGGAAATATATAAATAAAGGAGTCATCAATAAGCATCTTAGCATGTATGAATAATGCAGGCGGCCATTTCCCATAGCCAGAGGCAGGAGATATTATTACACCATCAGATCAACTAGCAAAGGTAATAAATTGGAGAGGAGAGATAGAGAAGGCTGGGGTTATTAGGCAATCCCTAATCCAGATTAAAGACACTCTTTCTGACTGAAATATCAGTCAAACATTGTGTCTAACTTGTGACCAACTTCAGCGTTTGTAGTCCTCACAAAACTGGATGTAATGGCAAGAGTGTCACCGGGGTCAAAGGGAGCCAGCTGATACTGTGCTAATCCGTCTGCAAAAATGGTGCCGCAGGATTGGCAGGACTCTGGACTATTTCATGACAACTCTCTAAGAAAAACACAAAGATTTAGACACCGCTGTTGCTCAATTACTGACTGTTAAAACCCAATTACATACACATTTAATGTGTTATAATCCTGAGAAGCTGTTTGAGTTACAGCTAATGATGAAGGGAAAGTAAATATAACAGACTACATGAATGGAAATGTTCCATTGTGGCGAACTGTCCCTGAGATTGATTTAGTGTTATTCTTAGAGTTGTGTTGATAATCTATACTAGTTTTTGTCAAGTTTGTTTAGGTCTTATTTTCGAGTTTGACATGGTCGACAAATATTTTGCATTGCTGTTAATGAAAACACTGTTACACATAGTGAGATGTTTATGTGCCATGGTTAGTGCGAACCAAATAGAATACTTTCTTTGATGGTCTATCGCACTGTTAACACAAGCCAAATCCTGAGCTGGATCTTAGAGCAGAGGGATACAGACAACGAATGAGGAGAGCTGGTGTAAACACGGGCCAGAAACGGGAGGAATTTATTCACCTTTAATGACTTCCAGGGAAGAACAAAAATGAGGGGAAATCAAGAAAATAAGCTGAGAGAGCAGGTTCCTATACGTGTTTGATTTCCTATGACTCCAACAGAGTCACACTGTCAAATCTGAAACATATCATTGTACATGCTGTCTAGAAATTTGAAGTTTTGTTTAGGCGTCAATTAGAGACTTCAGACATTCCTTTAGTAATGCTAGAGGTTACAGGGCGCTGGCTGCCGCAGCAAAAAGCAGGACGTTTTAAATTATAGCGCATCACGGGGTGACCAGGATATCATCTTCATATGACCTGAGCTGCCCTTTATTCTGATAGGAGCTTCAGGAAGGAGAGAGAGGGAGAGAGTGTGAGAGACAAATGAAGTGGTGGTGACAGGAAAAGGATGGAGGCTTGTGGAAAAGTGATGGGAGGAGAAGAGAAGCAAAAGTTGTTAAGAGACAGAGGTTAGTGTCAGGTAGAGAGAGGGGAAGAACAAGTTCAGCACTGGCATGTAAAAAAGGAGAAGTCAGAGGAAAAAGTAGGGTAAGGAAAATGCAGAATGTTGTACCAATTCAAAGCACTGCTGGTGTTCTCCTGTGATACCATCTTGACATGTTCATCTCTCTTCATTTATCTTTCTCAGATCCCCACCTGTTTCCTTTTATATTTCCCTTCACGCACATGCTTCAGTGCTTTCTGCTTCTTCCCCCTCTCAAAATCTCTGTGTTTGTCTTGAAATGTGCTTTCTGCTGGGTTGCATTCTGAGTATCATGTGACATAAACACCTTTGTAAACTTAGCTAGTCTTTTAATAGTAGCTGTCCTCATTTTGTTCACCAACTGTCTCAGCCCCCTCTATCTTAACGTCCTGTTCCTTGTTCACACAACACCTTATGCTGCAGTAAACCGGTAATGTGCTGCAAGGTCATCATTGCCACGGTAAGTAAAGTGGTTAACAGTGTCAGTTCCAGCGAGATATCATAGAGGCATGGTGGAAATCAAATGACATACATCATCTTATCAAATGAGCTCTATGACATCAGCAATAGACAAGGTCTCACACCTGAGAGCCATATTTTCACAAATCAGATGAGTCACAGCCACAGTCTATTGGTCACAGCCTGATAATATGAAATAATATATCATTATTGTCAACAAATACGTTGACCAAACGTTTTATGTTAATTAGTAACACATACAATTAACAAATTAACAAATAATTCACATCACAACTTCTTGGAAAAATGCAAGATGTTTTTGACATGCATTTACGATCCTGTACCTTTTAAACTTGTTTTCAGTCTACATTGCGTAACATAAAACTTTCTGTTATTTGCTGTTTTTGGGTATGTTAGCTAGTGTAACTGTAGGCTCTGGCTCAACTGATTAGTGCGCTGATCTTGGATCAGGGGAGCACTGGTTCAATCCCTTCTGCAGTCAGCATGTCGTTGTGTCCTTGGTCAAGACACTTCACCTCACATTGCTCCAGAGGGGATTGCTCACAGTATTGAGTGTATGTAAGTCGTTTACATAGCTAAACGCATCTAACAAGTGATATGTAATGCAATAGCAGCTATTTAGCAAATGATGTCCATTGGCAGACCATTTCAAATGTTTGTTACACTCCAAATTTGTATGGAATGTTGAAGCAGAAAACCATATTTTACAATTGTTCATTTTTCACAAACAAAAAAACACTCAAACACACAATCTTGAGTTATCACGCTAAAATATTAGCCTTTTAGAAGCCGTCTTTGTGCTACCTTAGGATATATAGATGGCTGGCATTGTTACAGGGTGAGATCTCAGTATTATTTTTTCATATTTAATACTAAGATAATATCTCATCAATGATGGAGACATTGCTCATTAAGAAAACATCAAATCAATTGATGCTGATTAATGGATATATACGTTAACACTTAAACTTATTAAACGATAGTTTCTTTGGCCGCCATAAATCTATGCTATATCGTCATACAATAAAATCATTTCATTAGTATTACTTCCTGTTTAAACTGCCTCAGGAACATTGAATAATGGACATATCTGTGACATTAATGAGCTTGAATACCTTGCCAAAGGGACAACCTAATTGCTCCCATGTGAACGCTGTGGAAAAAATTCCCCAACCCACCCATGCAAGCCTGAGATCTGATCCTACAGATG